AAATAATTGTATTTATTTTTACCAACCGTAATCGACAGGGCCAAGGCCTATACTACCTGGATCTATGTCGTAAAAATGCTAAAGCTGATTTCACATCAGATCATGCATTGCGTCAGCTATCAATGCAAAGTCAAAGGTGACGCGCATTAGAGCGTCAAAATGCATGTGCGTCTCTGAATGCACGCATGGACTGCACGGTAGAGACGCACGGACTGCACGGCAAAAGCGCGGGGGAGGTGCAGGAGCGGAAGATCGACGCACGCAGGAGATACATTTGGCTGAGCGTTTCCTCAGGACGTTCGTGCAGCGACAAATCAGAGAGCCGCAAAGTGGTCACGGGGACATAAGTGGTCTGAGCGAGCAGACTGAACATACTGTAAACAGCCAAAACAGGAGCTACACCAGGACTAAAACCAGGGTTGACGATGGGGGACATAGTGCTTGTGAACATATGCGTTTTCATGCTCCCGTGACTTTATGCAACTCCTTTGAGCGTGTTCACTGAAGCGGAAGTACCGTTTAATAATAAAATAAACGTATGGCGCACCTCCGTGCATGGACGTCGGAACTATTTTCTGAGAGGGGGGGCGGGTTTTTGTTGGGAGAGTCGAGGGAGAGACTCATACTTGGATTACACTGGATAATAACATACCATCTTAATTGTTAAGAAAAACAAAAAAATAAACAATATATATCAAGCAAGTCACTTATCAAACTGAACATTTTTTTTTTCAATACGCATTCATGCGTCAGTCTCTCCGGTGGCTTCATTGTGTTGTGTAGCCCAGTGACGTGCGGTCAGATGAGGCAGGCAAGGCCCTCACCTAAGATCATAGAAAGAAAAGTAATAAAATGGATACAATAATGTTTGGTCACTTTATCAAGTGATTTGTGCTGTGCCTTATTTCATTTATTTATACCTTGAAATCGCAGATTTGACAGAGCGGCGCTGTGAGGCAAGCCTCTCTTGGGAGACGTAAAAAGCAACAGCTCACATGCAGGGAGAGTCCTGTGAGGTGCTATCAAACTGTTTTCTCTGTTTATCACGGTTTAAAAAGTTCAAAAATATTTAATTTACAATCAACATGTTTACATTTAAGAGGATGGCTCATAAAGTGTGTTTTTGAAGCAAACATGGGTCTTAATCGCGCTCAACCACAGCTTGTAAGTGAGGAAAGCCTCAAGGGGGCGCTTGTGAGCCCAAACTTTGGCTGCATCCAAGTCCATCAGAAAGCTCCTTTCTTGTTCTTCTTCTGCTAAGGGCAGCTACAGGTTTGGCTAACATACCTATAATACATTTTAAGATAATTTAAATGCACTTAGAGTAATGTTTTGCTTCCAATAATGATATGAATCATAAGAAAAGGAGGTGAAGGGTAAGGTTGAATTTAGAAATTGGATTTACCCGGGAGTCGGCTGCAGCAAAACTCGGAGTTTACGGAGGAGACACCCGTTTTTTTTACTTTTTAAAACTCATTGAACTTATTTCCAAATGGAGGATTACATGTCTGTGCTCAAACTATTATCTGGACTTAAACATGAAACTGGTCCTAACTGAAGTGGTCTGTGCTGTTCATTAATACCTAAGGTAAGGCCCATAACACACTTTGTACTTTTTACAAACGTTTGCGTTTTGTATGAGAAAACTATGCAGACATTAAATCATATTCTGCTGTAGCCAAACAAATTGTGTATAAGCCGCTCCTGTTCCTGTAGGTCCTGTTGGTTTATATGATGTATAATCATATGAACACATGATTGATCCCCCACCGCACGTCACTGGTGTAGCCAGGTCTCTAATCTGCGCAAGGCTGAGAAAGAGCGCTCAGAGGCTGCGACAGATATTAGCCAGACAGAGCTTCATAAGCTTCTCCGACAACATGGAGCGGGTTTTGGGCTGCAAGGAACGCAGGATAGTGATAACTTCTCGCTCCCGGCACACGCGGAGGGGGTGCGGCCGCACCCCCCGCACCCCTAGTTCCGACGTCTATGCCTCCGTGGACACATACTGCTGTTAAATAAAGTCTCTGGAAGGTCTCTGGACACAGAGACGCTGCAGAGCTGCATTATTGGAGAACTTTACAAAAAAAGCCGCTAGCTTAACTCTGTTAGCATCAAAGTCAGCCCGCTACTTCCGCCACTTCCTGCGCGCGCCACAGCTGGCCAGGACTTCTGGTATGAAGACCCCTGCTTCTGAAAATTAGAGAATGTGCGTCTGGTGTGCCTGGCATCAGCGTTCCAGCGTTGGCGGTGTGAAAGCAGCTTAAGCGAGACTAAGGCCCCGACTCCACCGTTATCTCCATGAGGGTGAATGGAAGTGGCTCCGCTGCCTGCAACATGCGTCCGTCCAACGCGCGTCGGGAGCTGTCCGTCAACGGAGGGTGCAACGGACACAGACGGACGAAATAGAAACAATCCTATTTTTTACGTCCGTCTACGTGTGTCGGGTCCGTTTTCCATTGAAAATACAATGGAATAGGTTTACCACATTATTAACCATGTATTGACATATGCTGTGGTCCTTGTTATAAGTGTTTGTGTTTGTTAATGACAATGATTATTAACAAATGTGTGCAATTTTTTTTCATGTATTAAATTGAAATAATTAGGGCGACAGTAGCTCAGTTGGTAGAGCATTGGCCTTCAGGCCTGAAGGTTGTGGGTTCAATTCCCACCTCTACACCTTCTCCACCGACTCCCACTGATGACTGCTGTCGTTGTGTCCTTGGGCAAGACACTTAACCCCACTTTGCCCAAAGCCCCCACTGAAAGATCAAGGCTATGCTCACACTCAGAGAGCAGCCGTCCTCCTGTGGACTCACCACCTGCAGAGGATCAGTGAGGGGCTGGTGCTATGAGACTTGGGTGGTATCTCTGACTGCCACCCCCCTGACCCAGAAACGGATTAAAGGGTAGATAATGGATGGATGGATGGAAATTGAAATAATTGTTTACTGATCATAAATCTACCATTTATTTTTCACGTAATGTTAATACGAAAAAACTTTACATACACCTCGCTCTTTTTGCTATCGCTCTGTCCCTGTCTACTTCCGAGGCGCTCTCTCCTCACCGCCGCACTGTCCCATCCACACACACACACACACACACACACACACACCTCTTCTTCTATTTAACACAAAGCCTCACGGGGCTGTTAAACGCACAGCCAGTGCCGGTTTTGCCACTATTCCGTTTTACGGACGTCTGACGGGCAGCAGCCAACGCGCGTCAATGGAGACGCGCCCGGTGGAGTCCTGGCCTAAATATGATGGCACTTAGTATTTTGAGGTTAAATATTTTTTTGTTTGATTCTAATCATTTGCTTTACACGTTTTGCTTTGATTTTTAGTCAATATCAAATTTTAGAACAATGTCATTTTGTGAATCAGATCAAGATCAAGAGATCCTTTATTTGTCCCACAGGGAGAAATTTCAGTGTTGCATCACAAGTTATAGAACAGTAGGAAAGAGGAGCACACAGCACAAGATAAGTGAACAATAGCTATACTAATTAAAATAAAACAAATTCTCTAACTCCAGCATCAATAACAAGTATAAAATCTCAATCTTGAAAATAATAATACAAAGAAGTGTAAAAGTATTACATTTGGCAAAACAAGAGGCAAGTATAAAGGTGTGTATTCTAGTGCAAGCAAAGTGTAGTTATATGTTAGCATCTGTACATGTTGGCAGCAGAATGTTTTCATCTGTACACTAGCAGCAGTATATTTACATCTGTACATTAGCAGCAGTATGTTTACATCTGTACATGTTAGCAGCAGTATGTTTACATCTGTACATTAGCAGCAGTATGTTTACATCTGTACATTAGCAGCAGTATGTTTACATCTGTACATTAGCAGCAGTATGTTTACATCTGTACATTAGCAGCATGAGGGTCTGGGACACAGTGACTCAGTAAAGTGACAGTTAAGGATACTGCAACGATGCATGACACGTGGGATCAAGTTGACAGTGTTCATTAGTCCTCATTGTTTGTTTTACAGTCTGACAGCAGCAGGAAGGAAAGACCTGCGGAACCTCTCCTTCACACATCGAGGATGAATTAGTCTGTCACTGAAGCTGCTCTCCATAGCAGCCAGAGTGTCTTGCAGGGGGTGACAGTCATGGTCCAGCATAGATGTTAGTTTGTCCCCCACCTGATGCACTGTGCCCAAGACAGAGCTTCATAGACATACTCAAATTTAAGTTGATTTTCACTATACATCTGCTTCATATTGTACCCTTATTTGGATTTGGAAAAGTAAAAAAAAAATCAGTGCAGAAGGTGGGGGACAGAAGGGTATGTCATGGTCCATGCTGGACCATGACTATCCACCCCCCCAGGACACTCTCCTTCGGTCAGACTGTACATTGAGAACTCCTGAGGCAATGTCATCTTGTTACATGCCATCTAAACTGTTCATAGTAAATACAGCAACGATGTGCAATACTGCAATTTCTGAATATCACTTTATCTATTCATTCTGCCCATTTTTGAGCCGTGGCACCTTTTTCATTGAAAACAATTCACATGGCACACCACCAGCTGAAACTGATATAAATATGAAACTTTGCAGCCTTTATTACCAATGCAAAGTAATTTTCATCAAATAGTATTATAGAAAATCCAAAAAGAGCAAAAAATTATTTATAATTTTCTCGATGTATATTCTGTTCACAATATTTTCATCATTTAGGTGATAGGCACTGAAAGTTTTATGTGCCACAACACTGGTTAAAAGCCACTGATGTAGATGTATACTTAATTATTATGAAGCATTTGCAGTTATTTAAGTAATTGCAGCTACATATGTAAATTGTGTGAGCTCCTTGTGCGCTCTTACTACTCTGCAACACAGAAGTTTCCCCACTGTGGAAAGAATAAAGTTTCTTATCTTACTTCTGTAATTCAACTTACAATGTGAAACTAATGTATGATAGACGATTATATAATAATTAACGAAAATATATATATATTCCTCCACTCCACTCACCTTTCCGAACTTCTGGTGCAGAACGTACAGCTGTCCTTCCTTTACGTGGGCGTCCATTCGGCTTCTGTCTGGAGAACAAATTAAACCAAATAAAATAAAATAAAACAAACTACCCAAAAACACTTAATAAGCTGCAGGATCCTCTAAGTTCCATCCTAGCAGTTTGAACCCGCTGCCCAAGCATTGCTCATAACTCACGGAACATGGCGAGAAACATAATCTAAACAGTTTAAATATCCGCTTATTTCGATCTTAGTACGGGTGGACTACTGTTTGCGTGGTAACTTTTAGCTGACTGAACAGTGGCGCGTATTCGCATGTATGTACGTTTCCTTTGACGAGCAGAGTTGCTGCTGGAAGCGAAAAAGGAAATAAAAGCGGTAAGCGTCTGCATCCATAAACAATACCTCCGTTACTTCCAATACTTCCTCGCTCTACCGTTTCCTTTTGATTACATTGGTATCATCACATTTGACATAGAAAATATAGAAATGTGTTACACTAGACTTGAACAAACTTGGACTTGCCGCATATCCAAAAAGATTCATTATAAAAGAGATGGGAGTTTATGGAGGGAGGTATTTGTCTGATTTCGGACGCAGTCATTGGTCTTCGTCAAAAGTGAGTGAGGGAATGAAAGCTGCAGAGGTGGAGCTGCAGTTTGGGGGCCACGCTGACATGTCCTGTCTGCTTTTTGCACGGCATACAGTATGTGGAAAACGTACTAGTCATAAGTACTCCATAAAATGATAGATATTAATATAATTATCAATCATTTACTTGAGTACAATAGTTTTGTGTTTTCAATTTGATACAGTAGCTCAGTTGGTAGAGCATTGGCCTTTAGGCCTGAAGGTCGTGGGTTCGAGCCCACCATAAGACCTACTTCACGACTCCCACTGATGACTGCTGTCGTTGTGTCCTTGGGCAAGACACTTAACCCCACTTTGCCTGAAGCCCCCGCTGAAAGAACTCAGCTCCTGTGGACTCACCACCTGCAGGAGGATCAGTGAGGGGCTGGTGCTCTGTGTACTGGGTGCAGCTCTGACTGCCACCCCCCGACCCAGAAATGGATTAAGGGGAAGAAAATGGATGGATGGAATTTGATACACGTTTCATACTGTCTAAGAATAGGCCAATAAACGCACTTTTAAGTTATCTGAACTTTGAGGAGCGACTAATCACACTGAAAAAGAAGCATGGCCAACGACTTGATTGCAGATGGTTACGCAATACAAAAAAGAGTAGAAAGTTTAAAAGTGAGAAGTATGGAAAAATGTTCCAGCATACTCTCTTTTTGGTTTTATAATTTCAAATAGCAAAGTAAATATAACACCTTAATATTTAATATAATTCCCCTATCAATTTATATTCTTTACAACGTTGTCCTCTGAATTAGAAGTAAATTAGATCTTAGATTTTTCTTACTTCACTTTCTTACTGTGGGTGCACTGTCTCAACATTTCTTATGTTTATCCATATACCTTGCGTTGCAAAAGTATCATACAGCTTGATTTTTTTGCAAACTGTAGGCGCCAGTGTAAGGAGCGCTACCGCAGGACCTTTATCCCATAGACTGTATATCCCCACAGCTGTCAGACTGTACAACAAGTCACTTTAAGTCACTGCATTATGACTGAAAAAACATGCACAACTAGTGACACTTCTGTTGACACTTTTTTCTTATTGCCACTTCCTAATTACCACTTTTTGTACATAATATGTCCTGCATCAACATGTTTGCACATTTCTTACTTTTTGCACAAACTTGAGTGTTTCTATCCATGCCAAATGTGACATGTAAATTTCTCCTGTGTGAGATTAATGAAGTATATCTTATCTTATCTTATCTTGAAGCTGATTTCCATCAGTTGTAGTGTTAGTATTAGATAGCAATATGGCCTACGTGCAGGACTCTACAAGGACTCTGATTATTTTGACTATGATGTGACTGTCTCTGTGTGACACGTACGTCTTTCCATGTGTGACGTGACAATGACTATATAAACTGTGTACTGACTCCATTCTGTCTGAGATAAAGACACAAGGGAAACCACTGGAACTTGAGAGAAACTTAAATAAATTTCCAGAGTTTGGCGCACCACGATCCGTCTCTGTCTGCTTCATCCCTGACAGATTTGGTGGAGGATGTGCGGCTCAGTGTGCGCCATTCACTGGATTGTTTTGAGGGAGTTTGCTTTGTTTCTTTTCCTCGGCGTGAGAGAGCTGTGTCTGGGAGCGGAGATTCCAGCAGGCTGGAAGAGCTGTTCCTGGATGCTTCTTGTCGCTTCTGTCACTTTTGTTTTTTAAATTGAATATTCCGACGCGGAAAAGAGGTTGGCAGACCTCTCGGACAGTCCTTGGTACCTGTTTGACAAGAATAAGGTAAGCAGACACCTTTTTATATGTAAAGTCTGTATAATTGGATACTAGCTAAATTTTGGGGTTAGAGTCCCTTTGAGAGAAGTCTCGGGGTTAGAGTCCCTTTGAGAAGAAGTCTTGGGGTTAGAGTCCCTTTGAGAAGAAGTCTCGGGGTTAGAGTCCCTTTGAGAAGAAGTCTTGGGGTTAGAGTCCCTTTGAGAAGAAGTCTCGGGGTTAGAGTCCCTTTGAGAAGAAGTCTCGGGGTTAGAGTCCCTTTGAGAAGAAGTCTTGGGGTTAGAGTCCCTTTGAGAAAAGATAAAGTGTAGGATCCTTAGTGAAACCATGGTATAAAAGTAAAAGCAATTTTAAAAAAGGGAAACGTGTAAAGGAGGCCTTTTGTCACAAAAAGTTTTGTAATTAACCAATTCCAGGCTTGATAAATGACAAAAGTACATGAGCAACAACATTTCAGTGATCACGGTTTAAATTACATACAGAAAAAGGGAGTTTTTGTTTTTTAGTTTGTTTTTTGGCGTGAACGGAGTTCACCGGAGAATGCAGAGTTTTATCTAAAGTTGAGCTTTAGCTTTTGTGAGTTATTTAAATTTTTTGCCGAGTTTTATCTACAGTTGAGCTATGAGAGGGTTGTATCCAACAGTTGTTTTTTTGCTTTTTTTTTAGAAAGAGATTTTGAGTTTAAACTAGTTTGCTACCTCGATAAAATAGAAGCGTAAGGGAAATTAAAGACAAGAGTGCCTTTTGTTACTAGTGTGGAAAGTGATCACTTCTAGACTTGGATGACAAAAGTTGCTTAAAAGTGTTATGAAATCTCACAGTAGCCCCTATCACCCTCAGCCTATCCCACAGCGCAGCCAACTTCCCTGCCAACCTATGCAATCGAACTGGCAGTTTAAAAGCGGAAACTTTCCAATAACTGAAGTGGCGTTCACAATGGACCGTGCATTGGTCCAGTTTCAATCCAAAGTCAATGGTGACGCACGTTGTGGCACACAGGTTTGTCCGACGCATTTGTTGCGGCGCGGCAGAGGGGGTGGGTACGGCAACTTGACTCATCCACACAGAAACAAGTGCAAGTAAATATTATCCTACTTGCTTTCACTTTTAACAGTTTTTGTTTCGTATTGAATACCTTAACATTTATCCCACCAGAGCATGCCTGTGCTGTCGTGAGAGTGCAGCTACAGCTCTGCATAATCACACGCTATGTTATTTCCTCTTGTGTCTTTCTCCGCCTCCACATCTCCTTGTGGAACTTCTGCTTTTCTGAGTGAAGCAGAGTCACACACATGCACGCACGCACACACACAAATCAACAGAATAACCCATTCTTTCGTTTTATTGCAGTGTGGTAAGTAACACTGCCCTCTGCTGGCGCACTGACGCTCATCTGTCAATGGTCTACTCTAGGTAGCACACAAGTTAAAGCTGGGGTGCGTAGCTTTCGTTAATTAATAAATAACATATTTGTTCCAGCAGAAAGAGTCTTGTAAAATGGGTCTTCAATTTGTTACAAAAATGTCACAAACAAAAGTAAGTGTAGAACAATAAAGAGAGGTGGATTACATAAAATGTACCCCTTAGTTAATTTCTGGGTCTCCCACCCAATTCTCAGAGCATCAGCCTCTCACTGATCCTCCAGCAGGTGATGGGTCGACTAGAGAATTCAATTCAATTACTTTTCTATACCCCAAAATCACATCAATTACTTACAAAAGAGAAGGATAAGGAAAGATGGAGCTAAGATTCCCAGTGTTCCATTTGAGAATATAAACATGGATCACTCACCCAGTGGCTACACCATCTCTGCTGCTGTGACCTGTCATGCTCCACCCAACGGCTACTCTCCCTCTGCTGCTGTGGCCTGTCCTGTTCTCCCCAGCGACTACACGATCTCTGCTGCTGTGGCCTGCTCTGCTCCACTCAGTGACCACACCACCTCTGCTGATGTGACCTCATCAGCAGAGGTGGTGTGGTCGCTGCTCCACCCAGCGGCTACACAATTGCTGTTGTGACCTGTCCTGCTCCACCTAGCAGCTACTCCACCTTTGCTGCTGTGACCTAAAGTGCTGTTGCATTTTAATACTGTTTTTAGCTAGAGAATAATTAATTATAATAGAATTATCTATTGATTTGTTCGTACGAATGCATGTGTTTCTGCTGCTACTGGACACCTGAATTTCTCCTATGGGGATCAATCAAGTATCTAAAATTTTAAAATGTTTTGCCTAGAATTTTGTTTGTATATCTATAATTCAAAGCAAAGTAGATCATATTAGAAGTGTTATGCAATGCATCTTTAACTCAAATACACCCAATTGTATACAGCGCCTTGTGTCGTCTGTAATTTTATTTGCTGTTATTAACCTCCATTTTGTTGTCTCTTCCTCGGACGCTTACTGAGGCTATTACAGCAATTCAATTATTCATATTGCTTATCACTTCAATTGGATGGTGGTGAAGCTTTTGGCCGATTTCCACAATATGCTGCTTCATAAAGTCTTGCATCTGACCAAACCAGCCCACAAAGACCGTGAAGCCAAATGCACATGTGACATGAACGGTAACAAATGACTAATTTAGGTAGGATATGGCCTTGGAACCATAACGTTTCAAATATGCCATTTCGTGAATAAGGCTGCAGTAAGTGTGGAACAATAAAGAGATGTGGATTACAT